CCCCCCCCCCCCCGGGGGGGGGGGGGTTGCCCGCGGGGGGAAGTGGCCCGAAGGGGCCCCCCCCCCCCCCCCCAACCTCCAAAGTCGACGTGTCTCCATTCTGGGCCGACTGTTGCACGGGGACCACATTTACTGTAAAAAAGCCATTTTTTCACTGAGAAGCAACGAAAGGAGAAAAAAAATGAAAAGAAAAAAGAATGACCATATGTAGACTAATCGCCATGTGATACGGGGGGGGGGGTCGTCCCTGTACTGTGAAAAAAAAAGATACGAGGAGAACTTTGAATATATTTGTACAAATTGTATGAAATACATTACATTTAATGAAGACTTTTTAATAATAATAATTAAAAAAAACATGCCTGTGAGCAGCTATGATGAGAAGGGTACGAGTCGGCGAGTCAGTGATTGTTCGGGAGGCGCCCTTTGCCGGCCCCAGGTTCGAGAGTGAAACTGTCGATGCAGAAATACCTGCCAAGGCCTCCACACACACATGCATACACACACCCGCACTAAGTGGACAACATTCAATGCAGCAAAACCCATAGACGAGTCACTCATCCACACAGCAGGCATCTCCATAGAATATCCAATAGATGTTGCTGTAATGTCCACACACACACACACACACACACACACACACACACACACAGAAGCACCTGCACGCACTGCCATGGTGGACTACCTGAACGACGATTTCCCGGCCCACAGATTATATGCATTGTGAACAAGTTCCTGTATTTGTTATTTGTATGTATATTTCAGAGTACCAAAAATATGAAACAAAACAAAGATGTAGAATTATTTCTTTATGTAATGCAGACTGAATGGTTGTATAAATTTAATAATTGCTAGTGTAAAAAACGACTGCTCTTTTGTTTCGTATTTTTTTTCTTTCTTTGAAAAAAAAATAAACTAGTTAAAACTCAATATGTCAATACCCTGGCAAGCCTGTGACAGAAAGAACATTGAATCTGGCATGTGTGATGTTTAAATCATATTCCCAGCATGCACCACAGCAGCCCTGCCACCACACAAACAGGAAGTACCAAAATAAACAGATATACTGGGAGGTTTCATATCCTGAGCAACCACAGAGATGAATGCTGTGCGCTGGTACAGTAAATTTACTTTAATAATTTCTTCCAAAAACAATCCGGAAGAGAATTTTCCTCCAAGTATGCAAAATCATTATAGCACTACCCGCATTCTGGCTTGTGGTTCTCATTCAGGAAAACCACCCGGGGGTCTCTCCGCATTTGGGGTCGGGATATCCCCGTTGTGATCCAGACAGGGATCCTGACCATTCAACTTCTGGAAACAAAAAAGAGCGGAGGAATCAGCTTTTCTCTGAGCATTGTTGCTAACAGGAATAGCAGCTGAGTGATCACTTTTTCGAATTAAATTCCATTTATGGAACAGAAGACGAAGGCTGGCTCAAGATTTGTTAATTAAAGACTCTTGGCTGCTGGAGCGTCTCCAGCGAACCACAGTGGAAACTCAGCTGTAGAAAAACGGAATTGACCTCACAGAGATATTAAGGCTTGACACCTAGATGGGGTATGCCTTCCTAAAAGGGGGGAGGGGCAGACACAACTGAAAAAAAATGAACTAACCAGCTTTTAAATCGCTTCTCGGACCCCTGACAGTATTGCTAGGCTAAATCAAGCTGAAGGAACGTCTTAACAACATCTACCGAGACCCAATAACCACGAACAGAATCCCTTCACAGGGCGCCAAGTCCGAGCAGGATGGCGTCTTAGGTCAGCAAGGAGCTGTGAGAGAGAGGTGGAGGTTTCAGTTTACATGGCAACATCAGGCCGGGATGCCTGGCCTTGAAGCGGGCACTTCTATGCGACTCCGCGCCCGTGGGTTTGGCCATGTGCTGAGCTGGGCCAGGTGCTGCTCAGTCATCTGACTCCCCGTGACACTCAAACCGGGAGCACCTTGACAGCAATAAGCACCCTGCAATCCGAGTAGAGCCACATGAATATAAAGATCTCCTGCTCTGACTTTTATATTGTACATTTCGATTGCGTGTCATAAACCTGGAAATTAGCTAGTCATCTAACGTTTCGTCAGCCTGACGCCAGCTGAAAATTCTCATTCCCACTCACTCGTGTCGTTCTGGACGTCGACTTCCTGTTTTGTAAGGGCGGCTCGCGTTCCAGAAGGGCCGCGCCATTGTAGTCGCCATCCCTGACTTCCTGTGCTTCTCATGCCCCCATGTTTGACTTTACAGGATGCCCGACGCGTAAACACCCACCGTCGGGACCTCTGTTAACGGCACTTCTTCACTGCAAATGCTCTCATAAATTCCATACTTTACAAAGAAGGGGTTTGCGTTATTAGAGCAGTCATAATTGCCAAAGTGGGCAAATTTACAGATTTCCAGACAAAAAAAAGCAACAAGATACTCGTCAGACAATTGTTCATTTTTAAATGAGTACTGGGGTATGAAGGCATAGGCTACAGTGAAAGACTGGGGGTCTCTTGTGTGTCTGGAGCCTGGAACGCTTATGGCGGGAGATAGAGCCACCTTGGTCTGAGCAGACAGAAAACCGTTTCATGCATTCACTGGGTCGTGAATGAGTTGTGAGTGCTTCACAGTTCCTCTCAGACCCAGCCAAAGCCCCACAGAGATATAAATAAGTCTCCTAGCGGTAAAGGAGGTGTTTCACCACGGTGTCTAAAATGCCCTTCAGCAGTATACCTCAAAGTCATTTGTAGTCATACAGAGTAGAAGTCCCTCATACATTTCAAATGGCCATACCCTGAAAGGAGATCATATTAAAATTTACCGGACGTATGAAAATGACTGTGAGGAAAAAAATAACTAAATGTTTAGGATAAGGAAGGACACATATGCTTCCCAAGAGTAATTTAGTAGTAGCATTATACGAAACTTTATTCTCATATGGTATATTTTAGGCACAGAAAAACCTATTATGTTATTCCTGTCATAAGAAACGTATTGGGTTGGATCTGAAGTTCAGTGTAATTCAAAGACCGAGCCATCTGTTATGTGTTTGGATTCCTAAAAGGGGTAATATCACCTTTCAGCTGACTTCTCCCTATATTACATTCAAGCAGGCTAGCGCAGCCCACTCCCAGCTAATATATAACATGCTCTCGATGTTGATGTAATATTGCAGCCTGTGTTATTAGAACATTATGTGTTAGTTGGGCTGGAGAGGAAGACAGAGAGAAATGGCCTGGACCTACCTTTCGAATTTTCATTTGGCTCATTTATAATGTGCCTCACATTTCTCATACGTAAAAAAAACAAAAAAATAAATAAATAAATAACTGTTGTTCTCGAACCTGGATCGAAGGCCCTATGTGTTGCTCAATAAATGAACGCAGACCGAATCACTAACGATAGCCCGCACTTAGAATCGCTTATGATATTGCCTGGTTCGAAAAAGGGGCCGAAATGAGAGGGGCAGTCTTCCAGAAATGTGGCTTGCGTGTACTTGGATGGGATTGGGGACTAGCCTGGCTTGACATTGTGGGTTTCCCCAAAACGTGGTGGGTGCCAAGTGCACTCAGGCAGACGGCCCTCACACAGCATTCCCCACTTCGCAATACGCAGATGTGCCTGCCAACTCCCGGCCAATGGGAACGGGCCTCGCTTGCATATTCCCGGTACCCTCTCTTCACTGATTGGGGATTAGCATGGGGGCGGGAGGGGCTTCCCCTAACCACAATCTCCTGATCCCTGACTTACTGAGTAGAGGGTCCTGTCAAGGTCACCAAGCCTGGATCAGAAGGGAAACTGAATGAATTCTTATTGTATGGGGGGAAACCATGTCTCTACAAAGCTGTGTGTCCATTCAGGAGATCTGCTCGCTAATTTGAACACCGGGGAGGTGGGTTGTCCTGTCTCGTGCAAGCCTGTCCCCCAGAGGACCCCTGGCCTCCTGGTGAACTCCCTAGCATAGAAGGAAAAACAAAAGTCATTAAAAACAACATTTTTGGAAACATTGTGATGTATATTCCTCAGCACTGAGCTTTCTGCTTTATGTTCTCCCATCAGACAAGCCTGCGATGGTCTACAGCTTCCATCAGACCCATGGAATTGCTTTCAGCTGCATACCTCTAAAATCCCTAACTTCCAGCTGAATGCTGTTTTGCTCAGCTACAGTCAGCAATCTGTAACTATGACCAGCTGCAATTAGCTACAATCAGCTACCCATCACCATAACAAGCTACAATCAGCTACAGTTAGCTACAATCAGCTATATGTCAGTATAAACAGGTACAATGAGCTACAAGTAGCTACAATCAGACACAATTAGCTATATGTCACTATAACCAGGTACAATGAGCTACAAATAGTTACAATCAGATACAATCAGCTATATGTCATTATAACCCAAGTACAATCAGCTACAATCAAAAATGAGCAATATCTTACTATAGCATGATGTTATATATCTGCTGTAGGGAGCGGCACTCAGGTACAGCTATGGATGCAAACAGGAAGCTACAGCCCAGCTTTGAGATGACTGTGGTCAGGCTGAAGAATTTTATGCTTGTATTTATATCGTTCTTGTCTTGAAAAATATTTTTAAATATTAGGAATGAAAGATGGTTTCATTTTACGTTCTGTATATGCCTTTAGTAATTCATACAAAATATGCATGTGTGCGTGCATATGAATATTTATATATACATATATATCTATATATACATATATATATTTACATAAATATCTATGTACAGTACTGGGCAAAAGTCGTAGGCAGTCAAAGAAAATATTGTTCAGATGATTGTCATGTTGGTGTAAAGATGTGATATTATATCAGTCAAAATGTGTCAGCTTAGTCATGTCACAACATCTCCTGAAGTCACCACAGTATCTGGAGCAACGTCCCAATACAGCTTCCAATTAAAAAAATGCTTGCAATCAATGGCTGAGGTGCCCATGAGGAGAGGATTGGGAACTGAAGTGGTATTATATCCATCCATTTTCTGTAAC